TTAAGAGCCGTCTACAATGGAGAGTTGTAGGCCATAACAGTAAGAAATTGACAAATCACAATCGATTATTCTTCTGTACTTTGTCTGTGATTGGTCAATTTCTTACTATTACGACCTACAACTCTCCATTGTAGACGGCTCTTTATGCGGGCAATAACTGTTAACTTATGCCGGAACTGGTAGAGTTTAACTATAGGATTCCAATACAAAATTTCCAAATGCGTATAAACAGAAGTATTGGAATCCTATAGTTAAACTCTACCGGTTCCGGCATAAGTTAACAGTTATTGCCTGCATAAACCAGGCCTAAGTCTGCCGAACAATGGGTGCGTTCAGACAACTCAACAGTTGCACAACGGTTGAGAGATAATCACTTCTGATTGGATCGTACTTTTGGAACCGTCGCAGATTTTGAAGAATAGTCTTATCGTTAAGTGATGATCTCTCAACCGTTGAGTTGTCCGAACGCACCCAATGGTCATTCTTTCTGTCGTCTCTAATACTTGAAGCAACTCTCTGATTGGTCAAACACTGCGCATCTCGGGAATCACCAAATGCGCCATGAAAACTGGCACTTATGGCCAGTTCTTGTGCTTACAGATATCGGACCTCGGTTCCGGACCTTGATCCCTCTATTTCTACTGATCAACCCGTCGTGTTGGATCGCGGTCACCGGTAATCTCCATTTTGTATGTTTCGTGTTTCATCAGTGTTTAGACTTAGGCCCATTAGACGCTACGAGATAATAGCGGGCATTAGTCGTTGCGCGTAAAAAATTAATCTACGGTACTTTTGTTTGTCCCGTTACTTCGTAACTCCTTATCATATCTGAAAAACGAAACATGTCGCATGGAGGGAGAAATGAGTGTAGAATATACGTAGGAAATTTGCCGCCGGATATCCGCACCAAAGACATTCAAGACTTGTTTTACAAATTTGGCAAAGTCACATTTGTCGATCTGAAAAATCGCCGGGGTCCACCATTTGCTTTTGTCGAATTTGACGATCCAAGGTAAGGATTTTTGTGTTCAATTTGAACGTTGCACTTGTGATTGTTTAACGCGTACGCATATTATCATTTGTTATTCATTATGCAAGGTAATGAATTTGTATTTGTTTTGCATCAAGATTTGTATTCAAGTAAGAAACATTATACTGACGCTTATGTAACACTTCTTTGTTGCTTGATGTGATGTCTTGAAAAAGATGTCAGAATTTATTTTATTCAAAATAACTTTTATTTTTTTTTTTGTTGTTTTTCAGAGATGCAGAAGATGCGGTACACGCCAGAGATGGTTACGACTATGACGGTTATAGATTAAGAGTTGAATTTCCACGAGGAGGTGGACCAAGTAACAATTTTCGTGGTGGACGTGGTGCCGGAGACAGTGGCAGAGGTGGTCGTGGTGAAATGAGCAATTCCCGTGGCCGTGGTCCTCCTGCACGACGATCTCAATACAGAGTATTGGTAACTGGCCTGCCACCGTCAGGAAGTTGGCAAGATCTTAAAGATCACATGCGCGAAGCTGGTGATGTATGCTTCGCTGATGTTTATAAAGATGGAACCGGAGTGGTTGAATTTTTAAGACATGACGACATGAAGTATGCTGTGAAGAAATTAGATGATTCAAGATTTAGATCACACGAGGTAGGATGTTTTAATATATAATATATTTATCTTATAAATAGGACTGCACAGCTTGAATCTGGAGAACATTTTTGTTGATTTGATTACCCAGATCATTTACTCAAATAACCGTGATCCCGTTTCAACAAGAATTATTTTAATTTTATGTTTACTGTTTAGGGTGAAGTTGCCTACATCCGAGTAAAGGAAGATCATAGTGACAGAGGACGCAGTGAAGATAGAGAAAGAGGTCGTAGTCGGTCACGAAGTTATAGCCCTCGTCGACGTGGCTCCCCTACTTATTCGCCTTTGAGACGTTACTCGCGATCCCGATCTCGCTCCAGATCTCGTTCATACGACTAGTGTGTACGTATGTCTCACATGATAATATAAGTACCAGATTTTACCGATTTTTCTTCCTTGCGAAGTTTGTTTCTTACCTAAACTTGAAATGAAACCTCCAAAAAACAAAACAAAAAAAAAACCAGCACAGACAATATTTTGTAAAAAGAAATTTAATATTAATTATATTAATTTCTCTTGTCATTACAAAATAACGTTTATTAACGTTGATTATATAATTGTATTTAGTGTATAATTCGAGCACGATTCATTTCATACGTAGTATATACGTCTTCTGTTGAATTTCTTATTTTTCTCTGAAGTAAATACATATTCAATACGAGCAGTTATTTCATTTTTTTTAAGTCACTGTAATAAAATCTTGGTGACGCTAGGCTTAAAGTTGTTGACTTCAGACAGTTTATATATTTTATTACCTTCGCAAAAAAAAAAAAACAAAACAAAAAAAATGAAATCGTGCTCATGATTCACATATAACTGTTTAATATCCAAAAATTCATGAGAACTAAATCTAAAAAATACATTCCTTCATATTTGCCAATTTATTTTGTCATCACTGCTATCTGTGAAATGTGTGTGTAACAATTTTGAAGTATTATTGCTGAAGGCTCTCAAAAACGCATCAATTCGAAAATTCAAACTTGTGCTTATTATTAATTTATATTTTGGCTTTGTGCTTGACATAAGACCTAGTGGTGTCACTGTGATACATCTATTGCAAATAGAGTTTGAATTGACAATAACTCATTCACCATATTTGCTAATGTACACGATTATTCCTAACAATCAGAGAGATCTATTTGCCAGTTGACATTTTAAAGCCTAAACAAAGTCTCTTTTCTTAATATTTTATAACAATTATTATATGTCATGCACATTTACAGTACTTCACACTAACATATTTGCATAACAAGATAACGAGAGCAGATAGTTTCTTTGAATAATAAACGGAGATGTGTGGAGAAATAAAAAAAAAACCAATTATGTGGGGGTAAAACTTGTACTGAATGTACTAACATTTACATGAAATAAGTGCTTACATTACATACACTTATCTGATGCTTTTTGTCATAAACTCGTCACACTGCTTATATATGATATAATATATACATAGTATTGTACAAAATACTATTTATTTTGTATACTGCCAAACTGACACCGATGTTCAACTTGAATATACATAACTACTCTTACTAACATATATATATGCATATGTATGTGCAGTGTATATATAAAAAAAAAAAAATTAACAAATTATACAATTTTTAACTTTTGTGTGTATGTATAAATACCTCAAGATTGTTTACACAACTCAACGCGCGCTTTTGTTTGATTTATTCGTTTAATTCAATATGTAATTCTAAACCGAATAAAACGTAGTGATGACAATATCTCATATCACTAAAATATATATAAGCGTGACACACTTTATACATTAATTGTATTTTATATATTATAATAAGCGCAGCAAAATTTTTTTGCTTGATAATAAGATACAATTAGAATAACAACGTTTCGTTAATCATTCTCCAAGTTCGCAGAATGATATATTTGTCTTTCGAGATATAAAATGTAAATTCATTTATAAAATTTAACACTTCTCAGTGTGAAACTGCAACACGATATCTGTTACGAAAAAATAAATCTGGATGGATTGCTATCGCATCCGGATTGAAATAAATAGGAAATAACGTCTGAAAAAATTTGACGACATTCACAAACTAATCATTAATTGATACATCATCTCTTGCATTTTCTGTGTTTATGTTTTCCTTTCTCACGTATTTGCAAAAAAAAAAATTGATATAATACAACAAGTAGAGATAACTTAAACTTTTCTCGTAAATTTCTAGAAGTCATTACAATTTTCTAGAGGTTATTGAAAGGGAAACATTTGATACCATGTATTTTAAACGATGCTATTGTGTGCAAATTAATCCTGTGAACTGTTTCTTATACCGATCTTTCACGGTCAATCATACTGTCAGTATGAACAAGTATATTTGTTGATAGCGAAAAAATTATTTACCAATCAAACAAAAGTTTTTTTGTTACGTTTTACAAAAAATTTATTTGCAACTTTTGTACACAACAATCTTTAATAATATTCGGTATCAACTAATATTTCTGAATGATACCGACAGTATTATCGACACAATCGTGTAAGATTCGTATAAGCATTTCGTGCATTTGTGCAAATGTCTGTTCGTGAATGAAAAAAAAAAAACTATTTTACAAAATCTAGACACGCAGTCTACTCACATGTTCTCTAACGTGCGTCACAGGAATAAAATTTGCATAAAAAATATCTTGTATACGTATAGCATCGACTTGTATCATATAAGAGACTAATGTATTTTTTCTTCTTTTGTATATTGGATTGGATATAACACAATGAGTGAAAAAAAAACTGAAATCAACACGATCTTACTTCTTGGATGGATATAATACACATTCACTTGGCGTTTGGATGAGATGGATTGCGTTGATCAGACGGATTTTCGTTGAGACGGAGAGGATAAATTAAAAAAAAAAAAAAAAAAGGATTAAAAAAGGATAAGGATTAAAAGATATAAAAAAAAAAAAACGTGAAAATAGCGGGATATATGGGATACTTTCAAGAGGAAATTCAGGATATCGGATATACATTTCTCAGCATTTGTGGATATTCAAGAATCCTCAATTATAGCAGGATTTACTCCAGATCAGGAAATGTTGGCAAGTCCATTACGAGGAGGCAAACTATTTTTTTTGTTTTGATAGTAGAATACTAGACTCGAAGCGCTTCTAAACGCTGTTTTTTCAAATGAGAAACATAACGGAAGTGGAACTTTCTCATTATATGTCGCGTGGATATTTCTATCTGGATCTCCATTAAGGTGCTTCGGATACATATATATACATATATATATATATGTACATAAGTAATATTATTTTCGCGTGATCACATTATCATTATTATTTATAGTCGGAATAGTCAAACCAGTAATGGATTGTCAACTGTGCAGATTTTTGATCGGGAGCATTTTTGTTTATAGTATATAGTTTCTTGAACTCGTAGTGAAGATTTTTATAATTTATTTTTCGGATCGCTTGGCGGAGAAAACGAAATGTCCGCGTGTTGTTTTATCCACTCTTTGAGTACAACGAATGACGTCGATATTAGAATCGACTGGTAATATAAATAATCGTTACGTAAAAAAAACAAAAACAAAAGTATTTTAGTGTTAATCGGAAAAAGGGATGAAAGAGTGTAATTCTCTTCGAAGAACTATCGCGCGCGATACACAATCGTTTCGATAAGATCGGTGACTCAAAAAACGTCGTAAAAAAAAAAAAAAAAAACAAAGTTTCGTCGAGTGCATCTTTTCGTCGCGTTACGTGGTAAATCACACAGTGCGAAATCTTCGGCGTTCGTTCGTCATAAACAAGAGGATGGTACGTTTGAATAAACCGTCATTTTTGACGAGGGAACTGTGACTTCATAGCTTCTTTTAGAGGAGTACAACGGACAGGATTCTGGATATATTTGGATTAGGATGCCTTTGGACAGGATTCGAAAAAAAAAAAAAAAAAGGGGATAAATTAGTAATATGCACGGACGGATCTCTCTCTCTCTCTCTCTCTATTTTTGGATACGGATACTAATTGCCTGCGTTGGACCGTATCGTATAATCAGCGGATCGTGTCGAACGGATCGGATCGTTTAAGTGAAACAATTACGCAATATGGAAGGATGGATGGATGGATGGATTTGGAAAAAAAAAAAAAAAAAAAAAAAACGTGATATCGTTCGCGCTTCATAGGGGAATTCTCGCCTAGGTCGGATACAGATGTTTGGATTACTCGTGGGATTTCGCGTGAGAGATCAGTCGGATACAAGATAGTCGGATTTCTCTGAAGGGAGAAAAACGGAGATAAGATGATGATGATGATGGCTCGTAAGGTATTTGCAAACAGTTTCTATCTGAAAAATTTATACTATATCGATCTTTATTTCTGCATGTTCTCTTTTTTTGGAGATATATATACTTACGTGTTACATCTCATTTTTTGTCACCAAAAAAAAAAAAAAAAAAACAAGGCAAATGCAATTTTTTTATTAGTAACACGCAATACAAAACCCTCCTCGGAAGTCTTTTTTAAGATGTGTTTGCATTAATAAATCGATCTTCCTGTGTTCAGCTTCATTCACAACTTGTTTTGTTATGAAATCTGTTGTGTATATAACACAAGACACAGGTTTCGTAATTAATCGATAACGATTCTTGCTTTTTTTTCTGTTCGATTAACAACAATTAGACATCCAAATATTTTTACGTACCTTATGTTATTTCTTTTTAACTTGTTCACACTTTCTTCTATAGTTAAATTGTTACACAAATGGTGTATATAACCGTTATATGAGAAAAACATGAATAGCAACGAATCTTGAAAACGTTCTTGAATAGTGTGTATTTATCCACAGACACCCAAATACCGTGATTGTCAATAAAATGATAGTGACAATCGCGTTTTTTTTGTTTAAAAAAAAAATTTATTGTAACACAAATTTCATTACGTATCAATTTTATTATAGACGTATATTTATTACATACCAATTTTATCATGTGCTAGTTTTTATTTGTTATTCAGTGCATTGTACATACTTGAGTGCTGCGTTAAGCAAAATTTATATATCTCCTCACAACTATAGGCACTAAGTAACACACGGATTGCTTCACATTTTAATTCAAATAGGATTGTTCTAACATATATATATTTGCTTTTTTTTCTTTTTTTTTTGCACAATCCTTTTCATAGAATATCAGAGATTTGTGAGATTATTGAACTAATAAACGGGATGAGAGAAATAAATACGTACAAATGTAAAAAAAACTTGACGAGTTTATTTTATGCTACTATTCTCCAGTCATCGTCCATGAAATGTATTCACGAGTCCAATTCTCCAGTTTTGATGTGTAGAATAAGAATTATTATTATTACAATCATTTATTCTCAGGTAAGTAAATGTAAAGAAACTTAAAGTTTTATATTGGTGTTGTTGTTGTTGTTGTTGTTGTTGTTGTTGTTGTTGTTGTTGTTATTATTATTATTATTATTATTATTATTTTATTTATTTTTTTATTTATTTTTTTATTAGTGAGTCAAAGTATGCGATATTGTTAAAATACAAATACGATTCCTTCTCTTTGCCAATTTGAAATTGACAAAAGAAATCAACAAATCGATGCCGTTATTTTGTAAATGCTATTTATTTCGATCAATTATAACAGATCTGCAAAACTTGTGTTTTTCAAATACCACTTATATTCATCAAAGACAACGATTTCGTTCGGTTTTGTTGGCTTTTACATCTCTCGAATGGGAGTGATAATAAGTTCTTTGATAAGCACGTTCTCCGGAGTTTGCAACGCGAACAGAATAGCGTCTGCGACGTCCTTGGGCTTCAAAGCCAATCGTGGATTTTCCGTCAACCACTGCTGGGTCATCTCGCTCTCCACCAAGCCGGGACTGATATTCTAGTCGGCACAAACAAAAAACAATTTTTATACAAATGGATAAAGAAACAATTTTACGACGATATTTTTGTTTTGTTGTATTAGGAGAGAGCACAGTAAGCTAAAGTATATACAGTATTAATATTAATATTTTTGTACTGAAACAATATTTCTGTTTCACATCGAGTTTTTTGAAAGAAAAAAACAAAAATCACTTTGTAACATTACCACCGTATAAAACTAAAAAAAAAAAAAAAAATACTTATCCTTTTATTTTTATGTAACCCGAAGTACTTACAATTACTTTGATGTTGGATTCATTCTGCGCCAGTTCCAAACGAAGACATTCGGTCAGTGTAGCTAATGCGGACTTGCTGCTCGCGTATGCCGGAGAAAGTGGACGGTCGGAAGCGAGAGGTAGGCCTTTCCAGGTGATGGCGTCGTTGATGTTAATAATGGCGCCATTATCTAATCCTAGAGTTTATTTTATTCGTCACGTAAAAAAAAAAAAACCCACATTAAATATAAAAATCATTTTGATTCGGTTTTTAGAAAAGAAAAATTACCCTTGTTCTTCATCATCTGTAAAATTCCTTTGGTAATACACGTCAAGCCGAGCACATTGATGTCGAGAGTCTTCTTGAGTTCTTCTATGCCACCAGTGATACTGGACGAGTCCAAACTTATGCCGGCGTTGTTTATTAAGATGTCCACGGCTCCCAGATTCTTCCCAATCCATTCCAATGCGCTTTCGTTCTCGTTCTGAAGACTCAAATCGCACTGAAGAGGATAAAACTTGCCGGATTTACCCTTCAGTTCTTCCGCGAGCAACTGTGAAAATTCAAATCTTTTAGCAACGTGTTGTTGTTGAGATTAATTTGATTATAAAAGAAATATATTTGATTAATTATTTAATTCTAATTTATGCTCATTGTGTTCGAAGCTAACATACGAGTTTGAATAATTTTTATTGCACATTTGGCAACGTATTTTCAAACTCACAATGTGGTTTGTATTAATAATTTAATCATTTTATAATATTTGTACTTTAAATATATAAATATTGAAAGTACAAATTAAATATTTGTACGACGCGCGCAGACTATAAAAAATTTTTTAAATAATTAGCCTTTGTTATAATAATTTTTCTTATTTTTATTTTTTTTAACTCTAAATGGAGACTTTTCTGTTGTTAACGACGTAAAAAACGTACCTTCAGCTTGTTCAAATCCTGATCAAGTCCGATTACTTTGAGTCCCTTCGATACCAATTCCTCGGTGATTGCCTTGCCGATTCCGGCGCTGGCACCGGTGATGAGTGCGATTTTGTTCGTCAGCGGATTCATGTTCAAGTTTTTTTTTTTTCGCGTAGCGAACTTTTCAACGTCACGAAGAGAATTTTATAAATGCTTTTACTGCTTGCTGTCGCAGGAAGCGTCTACATGCCGATCCACACGCTCGGACACCTTTTTATACTCGTGCTGAAAAATCTGGCCCTTGATTACGGAGGTCGCCGTAATCTACGGCTGTTTGTAGATAGTTTATTGTTTTCTACACGTTTTCTGGATGATGTATTCCCGCGCGGATATTGCACACTATATTTTATTACGCTTGTTTTTCGGCACGTAAATCTTTGCGAAGGGTGATTATATCCCTCCCATTCATTAAGACTGGCGTGTGCGCGCAGATAATTCGTATCGTCGTCTCGATATCGGCAATGAAACGAATTCGCGAACATTAATTATCGCGGAAACAAAACGGTACATGTATATGATTACGAATATCGTAATGAACGTTGAATTGTTAAAACAGAGAGATAACGTGTTCGCTGACAGTTAACAAAACAATTATCAAGCTGGTGTTATATTCTTCAAGATGCAAAAAAAAAAAATAAAACAACGAGAGGGATGCTGACGAAAATTCGCGCGAATGTTTCCGAAGAAGAGGACGCGACCGCAAAAGACGAAAACATATTTTGATAGATTTGCCGAGTGTATTGCATCAGACTCTCTGCGGAGTGCAAACAATCTCTCAGCAAGACCAACGACTCTCTTGGCTCGTTCGCGTGATTGCGTACAAAAACGATTTTTTTTTTCGGCATCGATTCGATCGCGCGGCTTCTGTGAAATTTCGTTCTCTGTTTGACGGTCGACGAGTTTTGCGTTCGCCGACTGACAAAAATTCGCAAGCAATATCGTCGAAAGTTTTACAAGAGTTCTTGTAACAAGTATGGCGTCCTAGAAGCTAAGTAATTCGAAATTTTTGATCAGAGATCCCACAGGTAAATAAATAAAGATTTCATAAACTTTACTTTTGTGTAGATAAATAAATTTATTATTTTCCCGTAGAAAGCACAAAATTGCGCACAGGTTTTACATTTATTGTACATATGTGTGTGTTTATACATATCCCTAATAGGCACATTTGTGAAAATATTGCACAAAAATGGCATTATGAATGGCGACGATTTTGCAATGATTGCACTAAGATGATTCGCCATAACGCAACAGTTTTGTCGAAATAAAATTTTGTAATAAATATTTGTCAAAAATTGCGAAAAAGTCGTTATGCATTTCCACAATATATACCTTCAATAGGCAAATTGTGAAAATATTGCACAAATATGACATCATGAGTTACGACGATTTCTTGCATTTCTTACCCGAGTCGAAATTTAGCGTCTACATTGAACCTCAATTTTTGAAAAAAGGAAATTTCGGACTTATAGCAGCGTCAAAGTAGCATCTACTTTTTTTCTTACTTCTACTTTGAGCCTATCAGAGCCTATTTTGAGCCTATCAGAGAGCCTGCAATGCGCAGATTGATCTGAGAATTGAACCCTACTTTAAAACTTTAGCAGGAAAAAAGGAAATTTCGGACGTATAGCAGCGTCAAAGTAGGATCTACTTTCTCTCTTACTCTTACATAAAAAAAGAAAAATTGAGGCTCAATGTAGACGCTAAATTTCGACTCGGGTTTATATGCAATCATATTTCTACATATTTGAAACATCACATAGCTGAATTTCTTTTCTCAATTATTGAACAATTTCTTTGTGAAATTAATTTTGCAACTATACCGCTACGATGATTCGCCATATCGTTATTCTTTTGCCGAAATAGTATTTGGAAAGTAAGTGTTGCAAACAATGACAAATATTTTATAAAAAGATCAATGTTTCTCCATCTGTTTCCTAAAATATATCTGTATAATTTGCAAATTACAATTTTAGTGCAAGATTTCGTCACATAATTTTGTAAATGTTTTCCTATCATGGATGTAATATACATGTATACGATTTGTTGTAAAAACTCGATTACCATGATTCATCCAGAGGTCTCAGTACCACGTCCTGTATCTGTAGCAAGAAGACGATTTTGATAGCTAATTTGTTTTCGAGTTTTATTATAGAATGAAGAGATATTTTTCAAGATGTGTATACCAAAACGTGAGGAGGATTCGACAGTATATAAATCGCCGCTGCCGCAACGTCGTCCGGATTCAAAGTCGGCATCGCCATCATCGCTTCCGCGGAGAAAATGCTGTAGGAAGCCATAAATTCCGTCGCAACCAATCCGGGACTGATGCTCTGTGTATAACGTGAAAAAGTGTGAGTAAACCTAATATTTGACGTATAATATCTTCTTGAAAATCGTATTTGTTGTAATCAAACATTTATAATAACTGCATCGTTTTTTGATATTCCATATGTTTTTACCGAGACGCGTATACGTGTGCCTGCGAGCTCGTGACGCAAATTCTGAGCAAGCCCGGTAACGGCGCGTTTTGACGCCGGATACACGCTGATTCCCGGAACAAAAGGCAGCCGTTCTCCGGCCAAACTATTCACGTGGATCACAACGGCATCGTCGGCCGTCGTTTCACGCATCATACGAACGGCTTCGCGTGTACACAGACAGAGACCGAGGACATTCACGTCGAAAACACATCGCCAATCTTCCAAAGTACCGTCTGTGTGTTTGAAAAAAAATTCACTTACTTTTTTTTTTTAGAAAACCTGAAAATCTTTAGATAAATGCTTTTATATAATATTTCTAAAAATATTTCTAAAAAATACTTATTCATTAGTTAGAGACAAAATCATAATGTATGTTAAAAAGACGAAGATAAAATTCTCTAGTCGTCGCGTTAATTTTCAAGTTGTTTTTCTTTTTTTTTTTTTTTACCAATGAGCGAAGATTCCTTAGTGATACCAGCGCTATTCACGAGAACGCTTACTGATCCAAGAGTGTCCTTTACCCACGCGAAAGCCGCTATTACGCTATCCTCTTTAGTCACGTCGCATTCCACAGCGTGGAGCTTTCCCGAGGAATCTTCCAAACTATCAGCGATTTCTTTTATTCTCTCCACCCTCCTCGCAAAGCCTGCCACTATCATACCTGATGAAATGTGCACAAAATCGTAGGTTTTAAAATATAGAAATATTTTTCAATACAGATTAATTCTATTCTTTCTCTCTCTCACTTTTTCTATCTCATATTGGATAATTCTCGACGCATCTCTAATCTTGTTTTCTTGTGTTATGAAGATGATAATAATTTCTTTCGAATAACAACATTTATCTTATGCCGCAAGTACAGATAAACGCTCGAGATTGCAACATCAAATTTCACGTTACATCATTGAATTGAATCAATTCTTGTTTATCCCGCACGTGACAATTCCATGTGATATGTATTATGTATAATATCAATCTCTTCCTCACCTTGTTTAACGAGAATTCGTGCAATTGCGGCGCCAATTCCGGCGCTGGCTCCAGTAACAACAGCTACTTTTCCAGCCCATCGCTCCATCCTCGTACAACGAGAGTTCTGACACGACTGTGTACTCTCTGTAATTAGATTTGTCTTACGTGCTTTCGATATATTAATACGTAAAAACGAATAGACGTGTGTTATTACGTAGAACGTGTGCGATATCTGATATTCCTCACGACCAACCACTCCCTGACCTCGATATGAGATATTGTTTATTAGATTAAGTTACAATTTATTAGAGTATATTACAATCTTACTTCTGATCAAATAAATGTTTTTGTCTCTTTTTCTTTGTTATAAATCTTGCATAATCTTGACTGACGTTTAAAAGTGCGATTCTTTCACCTCGCCAAGTTCTGTTTGCCCATGCATCTACATACAATGGTATTCTTATGTCGATTTATCCATACTGAATAAAAGCCAATGTCTATCTTACATGTGAACTTATATATATACCGCATTCATTAGTTAGCATATTAAAAAATGTACTTCCTGTGAACTTTGTTCAGCATTGCGCGACACCGACTACCTTACACATCATTTTCTATATAACAAACTCACACTTCCCCTCACTTACGTGTTAAACTTTTGTGAAGAACCACCAAGTGCTGTGATGTTTTGTTCTTGAACACCGTAGATAAAATATTAACTTTGTTGACGTTAAAAGTGCAGAGTTTTTCATTAATAATAAAACTTTACATTTCTCATTATTTTACTATTTCAACGCAAGGCACTTGATATTCTGTTTCTATTTTACAATCGGTTTGAATATTTTAGTTACTATGAGTGAAGACGCTACTACATTTATACCTACCTTTTACTCCCATCGAAGTATTTTGATTACTGGTGGCACAGGTTTCTTGGGTAAAGCATTGTGTGAAAAATTACTTAGATGTTGTCCGGATATTAAAGAAGTATTTCTGCTGATACGCTCAAAAAAAGGATTAACCATCAACGAAAGGCTAAAAAAAATGTTGAATAACAAGATTTTTGACTTATTACGAAGCGAGCGGCCATCCAGTTTTGATAAAATCATTCCTATAAGCGGAGACGTGAGTACTAAAGATTTAGGATTATTGCTGGAGGACAGGAAAATGTTAAGTGAAAAAGTGTCGATAATATTCCACGTTGCGGCTACCGTCCGTTTTGACGAGAGTCTCAAAGATGCAATCTTCAACAACTTACGGTCAACGCGTGACGTTTGTATTTTTGCCAAATCTATGAAAAATATAGTGGTAAGATATTGTTTTGCAACTAGGTTTTTGTCAATACCTTTGTGTGCACATTTGACATAATCTAATGACGTTATGTTTAATTTTCTATAAAAAAAAGGCTCTGCTTCATGTGAGCTCGACATACACACAAAGCGATAAACCAATCGTAGACGACGTCTTGTATCCTTTGGAAGATGTTGACTGGAAACAGACGATCAAAATCGCTGAGACCGTCGACGATGAGATTCTAAAGATTTTTACAGCGAAGTAAGTTTTATACAGTTGCTCGTGCACACAAAACACATACGTTGGATTGTGCGCACGAGCAATTGTATAGAACTTACTATATTGCCATTGTCAAAATACGTTCACGCCTGTTCATTGATTTTTGCAGATATATTGGAACAATGGCAAATACTTATGTTTTTACAAAAAGACTAGCCGAGGAAGTGATAAATGATTTTTCCAAGTCACTGCCTTGCATTATTCTTAGACCATCTATAGTCGTACCATCAGTCAATGATCCTGTACCAGGCTGGATTGACAATTTTAACGGACCTATCGGCATGTTGATTGGTGGTGGTACTGGACTACTACGCGTAATTTATGCAGATTCTAGTATAACTTGCGACTTTATCCCAGTAGATATAGTGATTAAAGCAATGATAATCGTAGCTTGGAAACGCGGAATACAAAAGTACGTATGTGATAAAGACACTGTTTAGTATTTAACTTACTTGTTTCGATTAATGTAGAAAATTAAACTTCATACTATGTTTTACAAATCAGCATCTTCGAGAATAATAGTCTTCACATTTACAATTGCTCTGTAAACAACATGAAAACCATAAGTATCGGAAAGGTAATGCGCGCAGGATTTCGTGCCGTATATGATATTCCTTTTGAGCGAACACTTTGGAAACCACAGACGATTATAACAAATAGTGGATTGGTATATTACATATTGGTGTTAGTTTTACATATTGTTCCGGCATTATTAATAGATGCTGTGTTGAAAATATTACGTTTATGTCCGATGTAAGTTTTATTTTAAAATTCTGATAATTACACGCCAGATATTAAAAACTGTGCATTGTCACATTTGAAATTTGTGGTTGAAAGTGTTGAAGTGTGGTTGAAAGAATTGTAAGTGTAACGTATATACTATGATTTATGTAGGTTACTGAAGTTGCAACGAAAGATATATATATCAAACCGTGCGGTGTCTTTTTTTCTAACTCACTTTTGGCAGTTTAATAACACAAATTTAATAAACATCTTTGAGAATCTGAGCGCTGCTAATGAAAAAGATTTTGGATATAAAAATAGTGTGAATTTTGACACAGAAGAATTTATCAGGTGCGTATTAAATCTCACACATGCGAATATGTATGTACTACGTGCGCAATTTTATCAGGAAAAGACTTGGTTAATCAATAAAATTTTTTCTGTGTTCAAGAAATCTAGAGATTAATAAGTAATTATAATTTTCTATTTTAGACGTGGCATTATCGGTTCTAAACTCTACTTGCTCAATGAAGACATGAATCGCTTAGAACAAGTCAGACGTTATCGTAAAAGGTAAGATTAAATAACTGAAAAGAGCTCTGTGAACTTGTCATCCTAAAAGGCAAATTGTGAAAATATTGCACAAATATGACATCATGAGTGACGACGATTTCTTGCATTTCTTCATATGCAATCATATTTGTACATATTTGAAACATTACATAGCTGAATTTTTTTTCTTAATTATTGGACAATTTCTTTGTGAAATTAATTTTGCAAATATGCTGCTATGATTCGCCATATCGTTATTCTTTTGCCGCAATAGTATTTGGAAAGTAATTTTGCAAACAACTACAAATATTTCAGAAAAGATCAATGTTTTTACATCTATTTCCTAAAATATATCTGTGTATAATTGCAAATTACAATTTTAGTGCAAGATTTTGTCACATATATTTGTAAATGGTTTCCTATCAAGGTCAGTCTTTTATTTTTATGTTTATTTTTTTATCAGTTTTGAGTGTTTTTTACAAATTTCTGTGTTCGTCTCTCGTTAAGAAACGATATTTTTGCGTAGAATACTTCAGATCATTCAACTAAAAAATTGCATATAACATGCTCGGATAGAAACGTTTTTCACATGATATTGCAAAGTTACGTGCGTACTTTGATCGGTCTTTGTGACGTTTGTAGCTAGCAGGAACATAACGGAACTGCTGACATTCAGTCATTTCATGAGCTGTATTGTCAGAAGCATGTTAATATTCGTGTTACAGAAACCAATGCCAAACGAGTTTGCTGCAAAAACTGCGTGATATTTGATACGACGTTATATATTATAAGTGATAAAAACGATAAACTTAATTAATGCATTGCCATTATTGATGTTTCAGAATGGACTGGCTTCATGAAAGTATCAAACTGTTGTTTGTGATTATGCTATGCTACATCTTGTATTCACGTGTATGATTGTACAATAGGTAAATTAAATTATAAATCAAGGAAGTGAGTTTTTTTATTTTTTGAGATAAGTAAATTTTACTTGATTAAAGTAAATGTTTAAATTAGTTTGTAATACTGGACAAATATATTGTAAGAATCACGTAAATCTGTGAGTATAAAACTTAGAAATAAGTTTTGCTGGTTAAAACAATACAAAAGTGACACGATATAACATAATATACTTTACAGAACGTTTCACTGACTTGTATTTCTTCAGTCACCAATATCGAACAAATAAACATTAACATATTTGTATATTTGTAGTACGAAATATTTTTAATACATGTTATAATTAATTTTTATAGAAATATTAGAAAAACATTTTTAAACACTTAAAGTTCTTATATATTAGAATACAAAGAAAAAACTTTCGGTTACTATCGGTTCAACTAGTGTCTTTTGAACATAAGACATTTACATGAATAAATACTGTATCATACTAGGTATTAAATTCTCTTCTAGAGGTTTTTTAGGATTTCTTTTTATCGCGCGACCGCTATAATATCTCTCAATAACAATGTTTACTTGTGTGATCGGCATCGATGACAAACTTCTAAACGTGGAAGTGTAGGCAGACAAATATACGGAAGAATTATGTGTGTGAGTATATGGTATTCTGATCTTCAAAAGAAAATCTTTCTTTTTTGATTTTGGATATATTGTTTTATAATTAAGCTATCAAAACGAGATTGCAACTTGCTTACTTCTCAAAGTTGTTTACTTATAGTCAAACGATTATAAAAAAAACGTTTTGTGTAATCGTTCATTCGTGCGCGATTTTCAAGAAACTATGTTTCTGAGCGTTTACCATTATCACGCTATTATACATCAAAATTCTGAATATTGAATATCTTACGAGTTTTAATCACAAACAGATATGCACATAAATCAATAATAAATGCAACACGTAAATGTAAAGTAAACTGCTCTTCGAACTTTTAGAATATTGCATATCATGAAAAAAGTTCGTCATTATTTCCTATCAATGAGCCGACTATTCAGTTTGATTCATTTACGTGCAACCCTTTGATGGAGAAGGACGTGCTTAGGTTTCGCAACATCACAATTTGTGAATTGTTGACTATCTACCTATTTGAAACTTCTCAGTATCTATCAGATACTAATTTAGAAACGTTTTAAATATTTTAGTTAATATGAGTGAAGACGCTAATACATCTATACTCACCTTTTACTCCCATCGAAGTGTGTTCATAACTGGTGGCACAGGTTTCCTGGGAAAAGCGTTATGTGAAAAATTACTGAGAAGTTGTCCAGATATTAAAGAAATATTTTTACTGATACGACCGAAAAAAGGACTAACCATCAACGATAGGTTAAAGAAAATGTTGAAGAACAAGCTTTTTGATTTATTACAACGCGAGCGGCCATCCAGTTTTGAGAAAATTATTCCGATAAGCGGTGACGTGAGTATCAAAGATTTAGGATTATTGCCAGAGGACAGGAAAATGTTAAGTGAAAAAGTCTCGATAATATTCCACGTAGCGGCTTCTGTCCGCTTTGACGAGAGTCTTAAACATGCGATTTTCACAAACTTACGGTCGACGCGTGACATTTGTATTCTGGCCCAAACTATGAAAAATATAGTAGTAAGATATTGTTTCGCAAGTACGTTTTTCTCAATAACGTTGTGTGCACACTCGACATATTTTAATCACGTTATGTTTACTTTTCTATACAAAAAAGGCTCTGCTTCATGTGAGCTCGACGTACACACAAAGCGATAAACCAATCGTGGACGAGGTCTTGTATCCTTTGGAGGATGTTGACTGGAAAAAGACGATCAAAATCGCTGAGACCGTCGACGATGAGATTCTAAAGATTTTTACAGCGAAGTAAGTTTTATACAGTTGCCCGCGCACACGAAACACATACGTTGTAGTGTGTATATATTGCCATTGTCAAAATACGTTCACGCCTGTACATAGATTTTTACAGATATATTGGAACAATGGCAAATACTTATGTCTTTACGAAAAGACTAGCCGAGCAAGTGATAAATGACTTTTCCGAATCATTGCCTTGCATTATCCTTAGACCATCTATTGTCGTACCATCAGTCAATGATCCTGTACCAGGCTGGAGTGACAATTTTAATGGACCTATCGGCATGTTGATTGGTGGTGGTACTGGACTACTACGCGTAATTTATGCAGATTCTAGTATAACTTGCGACTATATCCCAGTAGATTTAGTGATTAAAGCAATGATAATCGTAGCTTGGAAACGCGGAATACAAAAGTACGTATGTGATAAAGACACTGTTTAGTATTTAACTTACTTGTTTCGATCAATGTAGAAAATTAAACTTCATACTATGTTTTACAAATCAGCATCTCCGTGGATAATAGTCTTCAAATTTACAACTGCTCTACCCACAACATGAAAAGCATAAGTATCGGAAAGTTACTACGTGTATCATTTCGTGTTGTGTGTGATGTTCCTTTGGGGCGAACAATTTGGAAACCAGATACGATTTTGACAAATAGTGGTTTGTTATATTACATATTGGTGTTAGTATTACATATTGTTCCGGCATTATTAGTAGATGGGGTGTTGAAAATATTACGTTTACGTCCGATGTAAGTTTTATTTTAAAATCCTGATATTTACACGCCAGATATTCAAAAATGTGCAGTATCACATTTGAAATTTGTGGTATAAGTGAATGTGTAACGTATATACTATGATTTATGTAGGTTACTGAAGTTGCAACGACGGATATATATGTCAAACCGTGCGGTGTCTTATTTTGTAACTCACTTTTGGCAGTTTAATAACACAAATTTAATAAACATCTTCGAGAATCTGAGCGCTGCTAATGAAAAAGATTTTGGATATAAAAATAGTGTGAATTGTGACACAGAAGAATATATCAGGTGCGTGTTAAATCTCACACATGCGAATATGTATATACTACGTACGCAATTTTATCAGGAAAAGACTTGCTTGATCAATAAAATTTTTTCTGTGTTCAAGAAATCTAGAGATTAATAAGTAATTATTATTTTCTATTCTAGACGTGGCATTATCGGTGCAAAACTGTACTTGCTCATAGAAGACATGAGTCCTTTAGAACAAGCTAGAGTTTTACGTCATCGTAAAAGGTAAGATTCAGTAAAAAAAAAGCTTTACTCTGCAAACTTGCTACTTGTTGTTTTCAAGTGGAGAGTTTGTTCGCTCTCTGTGTGTATTGCATTGAGAAACAATATTAGTCTGTAGGACATTTCGATTAAAGTTGTAGGCAGCATTTTCTGACAGAAACGTTTTACATTAATTCGCGAAGTTATGTGCGCTATTTGATCGTTTGTGATGTTGTTAGGTACAACTTAGGTCATACCGTAAAAACGTTGTTGGCATTCAATAATAATCATGAGTTTTACCGCCAGCTCTTAGGAAGTTGTTTATTTTAGGTTTATACAAAAGCAAACAATTTTATTTTTGGAAGCTACTAATGATAAAACGTTACATAGTCTATGTGATATAAACGTAATAAGTTGTGCATTATCATTATTGATGTTTCAGGATGGACTGGCTCCATGAAATAATCAAGATATTGTTTGTGATTCTGCTATTGTATATTTTCTACTCATTTTTCTTGTAAAATACGTTATATTGTATATCAAGAATTATTTCTGTTTTCATGTTAAAATCAGTAATTTTCTTAAAGTTCACGAGCAAGATATACAAATCATTTTGTACAGTATACTTATACCCAGCTCTACAGCTTGTTTTAACTATTAAAATTTAAGTTGTTAACATATATTTCAATAACTTCAAATTTTGTTTAAGGGTTTACGACTTTTTTTTGTCGATTCATATTGTTTCGCAAGTAAATTTCTCTCAATAGCTTTTTGGACTTACTTGACAAAAGTCTAATGATATCATTTTGTTTGCTTCAGAACAACTTTATAGCAAGAGACTTTGCGTAATGTGAGCTCAGTGTACACACAAAGCAATCAGATCGTAGTGGACGAGATTATCTATTCTTCTTCCGGGGATGTAGAAAAAGTGTGAAGATTGGAGAAGGACTATCAAGATCGTTGACAATGAGACCATCGATGAAACAGTGGTAAAAATTTTTACAGCGAAGTTAGTGTTAGATTACAATTGCGCGTGCACATGGGAGACACATGATGTGTCGTCATATCTTGTTATTGTCAGAATACGGTTGCGCCTGTTTAGTGATTTTTGCAGATATGTAGGAACAATAGGAAACATTTATGTGATTACGAAACGTAGCTCGATCAAGTGATAAACGACTTGTCCGAGTCATTGTCTTTCATTATTTGTAGATTATTCATTAGTATCATCAATCCATGTTTCTGTAGCAAGCTGGAATGACTAGTTTACCTGACCTGTCGGCATGGTTCGTCGGCGGTTAACCGGAGTGATACATGTGGTTTACATAGATTGTAATGTAGTTTCCGAGTTTATATCCATAGATATATTATGAAACGAATAATTCGTGGAAACATGAATTGCAAAAGTACATACAAATGACTCTGATAGCCACCTGTCTACGTTTTTGCTGTCATGTTGCCGAAAACAAAACGCTTGAGTTTTTAGCAAATTTAAAACAAGGTGAGTCAGGTATTTGTTTTTGGTTTGACATGACACGTATTCAACATGTGTTGCCGACAACTTGCTGTGTATTTGCTGTCAACGGTTTATCACTAACATAAAGAGCAACATGACAACAAGTTGCCAACAACACGTGTCATAAATTTCAGCAAAATACAATATGTCGAAAACTGACAAATATATATTTACTGACACATCGCTTTGTGAAAGGGAAATTAATTAATCAATGAATCGCTCGTGAAATAGTCACAGTATCTCTTTATCATATTTACACACAATTTCCAACTTTATCATGGATGCTGTTTGCTCGCGTGGATTCTAATTTTAAATTACACTGAAGAAGGTCCAAATCTGTGACCGAAACGTCTGTTTATTTAATAAAGACTTATTCTCATACACGACCAGCTTGTATTTACTGCTCGCATCGGCCCTTGAACTCAATTTAGGAAATTAATTAATTCGAGATTTCACTCAAATTAATCTTTGGAGATGTGATTTAGTTCGCCGATCAACTGATTAACTTGATGAAAGGTACCGGGACCCGNAAAAAATCCTAAGATGATGGGTGGGGATTTGAACTTGAGACCTTCATATTTGCAACTCCCTGCACTCAGTCCGCGAGACCACTTGTTCCTTACTAAAATATAATTATTTTTGTCTACTTATTCTAAAAGATAGTCATTCGTTTTCGACATTTAATGGGCTACAAGATAGAATAAATATATGTCAACAATTTTTACCAACCATACGACAGAAGTACAGACATCGGTGTCTTGTTTTGTTGCCGTCATATTGCTCTTATGTTGCCGAAAACGAATGAAAAAGCAAAGAGTTTTCTATGAATAAAAGTCATTTTCTTGACAACGTAATGAGCAATAGTTGCTCTTCGTTTGCTCTGAATCTGCTGACACAAAATGTCTCAAATTTGCCTTCGTGTTGTCGATTACGTATGCCTATGCATCATATTTTCAGCAAATACACAGCAACTAGTTGAAAACTTCAGCTCAGCATTAAGTTACATCATTTTGCAAAACATGCTTGGCTATCAGGGGATATATGAAGTTTAGTAGACGTACTTCTTATTTGTGAAGATGGATTTTAGTAATAAAAACTTTTTTATAAAATTTATTTTATGACACTTTTTTCATTAATAAAGCCCAGCTTTAAAAGTAGGTATATGTTTACTACTGACTTTATATAGCATGTATAGACTTGTATTAATACACATTTCTACTACACGCTTATCATTTCTCTAATAGCTATATCTACAGGTACAAAATCAAATACTACGGTAAAGTCCATGTGAATCACGCGTAACATTCTAGTTTTGCAGCCAAGAGACGTTCCCATAAGTCCGTTGAAATTGTCACTTATCACTCCTGGTACAGGATTATTGATTGATGACGCGAGTATAGACGGTCTGAAATTAACGCGAGACACTGACTTGGAAAAGTCACTTATCACTTGTTTGGCTAGTTTTTGTGTTATCACATACATGTTTGCCATTGTTTCAATGTATCTGCAAAAGTCAATGAACAAGCGTAAACGTATTTTGATAATGGCAATATATACACGACACAATACGTGTATTTCGTGTGCACGCGCAATTGTAAGGTAGAACTTACTTTGCTGTAAAAATGTGTACCATGTTTTCATTGATGTTCTCATTGTCAACAATTTTGATAGTGCTTTTTCAATCTTGATAATCCTTTGACATCATCTAAAAAAAGAATAAAAAAACTTTTCTCATCACGGTCTTATCCCTTTGCGTGTGCGCAGAACTTACATTTAATAACGCTTTTTGCCATAAAGGTTTTATAAATTTTACGTAACACTTTTAGTAGACTTTTGTCAATAACTACATGTGATCATGTAGTTATTGAGAGAAATTTGCTTGCGAAACAATATAAATCGACAAACTACAATACTTATCTGTGAAGCTGACTATAAGTGTACTGTACGAAACATTTGGTTGACTTGTATTTTTTTAGTCGTCAGCATGAAATAAACAAATTAAATCGTAATGAAACAATATTCATATAATATTTCTTTAAGTATTCTGATAGAAAAACATTTAGAAAATTATGTGACGAAATTTTGCATTAAAATTGTAATTTGCAATTATATAGATATATTTTAGGAAACAGACGTAAAAACGTTGATCTTTTTATAAAATATTTGTAACTGTTTGCAAAAGTAATTTCCAAATACCATTTCGACAAAAGAATAACGATATGGCGAATTATCGTAGCAGTATATTTGCAAAATTAAATTCAAAAAGAAATTGTCCAATAATTGAGAAAAAAATTTCAGCTATGTTGTAAATATGTTGTTTAAAATATGTAGAAATATAATTGCATATGAATAAATCATGTAATGTATATACTTATGAAAATGCATGACGACTCTTTTTCAAAGTTTCTGTCTTAGTCTAAGAAACGTACTTCTCTATACCTTAGCTGTCAAAATGAACTCTTCACAAAAATATTTTAATTGTATGAAAAGATACAGAAAATAAAAATGAACATGTTCACGTTTGTTTGCATCATTTCGCTACTTCACTCGTTATTTACAAATTCCTATATCCTTTTTACAAATATCATTTTTCTATCCTTTTTACAAATATCTATATGCTTTAGTTTTTTTTACCCGGGAAAAAATGGATTAAATCTAAATAGATCTAATTTAAATCTAACAAGATAAAAAAAATGGAAAAAGAGATCTAATTACATCTAAGTAGATATAAAGTTGATCTAAACAGATATAAATAGATCTATGTAAATTTACACTTTATTTATCAGTATAT